ATGGCGCCCTTCTTCTGATGCATTCTCGTGCTTCCGCCCGACCTACCCTCGATCGTCCCCGGAGTGTGCCTCTGTAAATTTGTTCTACTACGTCAACGGAATCTTCCTGCTTCGAGTTTGTGCGTTTTCTATCTAGTGATCGCTACTGTTGGGAAGGAGATGCAAGAATTTTTCGTGAACGATTCCATTGAGGAAGGATGCCAACTACATACAGCTCTGTCTGCTGTAATAGTTCATACAGAGAAAATTTCAAAGATTCGTTTTTGAGGACAATTTACAGCAAAAGATTACAACTGTGGACTTCGAGGTTATGGGTCACGTGTGGGATTACCGTTACTGAAATTTCGATTTGAGGCTTATCAACCTGAACTGACGCTGAGACACCATGGCAGTTCACGTTCAAGCACGCGTTGACACGTGGAACATAAAGTAACTTGTTGAGGTCAGAACAAACAAGCAAGCGGCGTGGGGGAGCTGAAGCTTTGAAAGTCGGTGTAGTGTTGACGTGCTTATCACAGAAATGTACACTGAGGTCAAAGAGCTCGTAAACTTTTTGGCCAAGTACCTTATAGGGAAAATCCCACGCCGACCGGTGAGTGTTCATTTGAGCTACTTCCAGCTCTTTGTAGTTTCCTTTGATAATAGTTGAATCACCGTGCAACTACATATGGTTCCATATTCAATTGTATTGCTATACAAGTAGGGTGGGCACGCCGCATTTTTTGAACAGAAATGTATGTAAGTGGGACTGCTGCCCGCTACTATACTGTCACGAGAATCGGGGAATTCGTGAGCCAGGGGGAGTGTAGCCAATCTAGGGGGGGGGTGAGGGCAGTCACTTGACATGCGTGAAAAGCTGGCGTGCCCACCCGACTTATAGTGAGCCTTGTTGAGAGATATATACCATGATGAAGACTCATTAATTTCACAAGGGAATGATTTGTAGATGATTTTTTGAAATTGGATTTATGACTTGTATGGGCCTTTCAGGCCAGCCTCTTCACGTGCCAACTTGCCAACTTCCTAATCTGTCGCTTTCGAGAGCACAAGTGGGACTTGAACGACCCGTCGAAAGGTAAGGCCTGTTCTGTATAATAGATATGAAATCTAGCACTGAAGAAGTTTTGGTTGAATTTCATCAGATGAACATCATCGTGTCATTCGCTCGAAAGTGAAAGGGTTCACCGATCAACTGATCATATCCGCTGCAACCGAAATGGGGCTCAGCGCTGAAGAGGTCTTGGAATGCATTCCAGGTACACAGTTCATAGCCAAACTACAACTGAAACTTGAGCCCAAGTAAATTAACACCCTCTGAGTCGTGCATTTTGAAATGGCAGTGATTTAAGCTATGTAGCTGAATATTTTTGCCACAGCATTTCAACAAGTTTCAAACGATGGAGCTCCATCTAAGCAAGAGCGAATGCTCCCATCACTAATACCAACTGGTAGCTGCAATTCAAGGTTGCTTGACCTTGTCTGGGTTTTTGCCGCATGACCTTTCAGCGTTCCCAAAGATTTCTCTTGGGTCTCCTTTCTGCCTTCAGGCATTCAACGGCTAAGCTATCACTGCAAAGCGCTCTTAGGACCAGTTTAATCACGAGGTTTGCCTTTAAGTGTCCCAATCGCAGTAACTCGTCCTCCTTCCGACTGACCATATTGTAAAGCTACGTACCATATCTGACGTCTGATTAGGCGTGTCAATGGACTCGACGCGGCGGCCGCTGCCTTGATAGTAGTTGCGCAGATAAGCTGTTTCCAGCATGAAATTGTCCTGCGG